TTGGACATCGATCGGGGCCTGACACTGGCGAGAGGCACCTAACCGTACTCCGACGGGAAACACTCCATCATTGGAGGGGCGTTACATCGGTTAGAATCCTTACCGCGCGCGCGCGTGTGTGCGCGTGTGTGTGCGTGTGTGTGTGCGTGTGTGTGTGTGTGTGTGTGTGTGTCAGCACCCCTCTACACCTCGTGGTGGGTGTGGACCCGCGTAGGGGGTTTAGTTGTTGGGTGGTGTCCGTACTTTTCAGTTAGTTGGCCAACTGGAATAATGTTGGTTGGGGTCGGTTTGTCGTTAGTCGTTGCCAGGGTGATGGTGCTGCAAGCAGGCAGGTCGCCAGCAGCAGCAGACGGGAGGGGTGCGGAGGGGAGGTACGGAGGCAAGTACGGAGGGGGGTTTTGGAGGAGGGTACGGAAGGGGGTTACAGAGGGGAGTACGGAGGGGGGAGAGGTTTTCATCACAGTTGAAGAAGTGAGGCGCACATCTGAGAGGGCTTGTTCTCTTCACATCTTCTCGGAACACTGCACGGCAGATTGTACGGCACGTGGTTCCATCGTACCTACTCACTCCGTCGTATCGTTCTCTTGCCGGCTTCAGGCACCCCCGGGCGGCAGCAATGGTGGTGGCGGGCGCAGTGTACGACACTTCAAGTTCGCTCAGGATATGAGATCCAGATCCATGCCACGGGACGAGCTGGAGGAGGATGTGCTAGGAGGGGAGGAGGGGGGGAACGGCGATGGGCCTCCGGAAGGAGCCACCGAAGAGGTGTGTTTTGTGTTTTTTTGTTGTTTTGTATGTTTTGTATGTGTGCCTTTGGTTGTATGTGTGTAAGTTTGGTTGTATGTGTGTATGTATGTATGTATGTACCTTTTCCCTCTTCCCCACGCTCGTTTGAAACCTGCCAAAAAAAATGATAGCGGATTTTTATACGGCTCATGGCGTTTTCTCCCATGCCGTACACAGGAGCGGCGCCTCTACGCCATGCGCCGCGCGTCCGGGGGCCCTATGTACGGCGACGAGAAGATCGCCCCTGTGGATCAGATTCAGCTGCAGCGCGAGATGCGGCGTAGGGCCCTCCTGGAGCAAATGAAGAACAGCGCCTGGGCGGACACCTCCCAGCAGTGAGGAGGAGGAGGGAGGTGAGGGGGGGAGGAGGAAGAGTGCGAGTTGTGACTTGCGAGTACAACCACGAACATGATAAATATGGGCCCCGGCCCCGGTGATGGCGACGGCGACGGCGATACCCACGACGACGACGGTGATGGCGATGTATGACGGTATCATTGTACTCTGCGACAGTCGCATCAGCGATAATTAAATTGAGGGTAATCGTGGCTGCGCGCATTCCGGATCGAACCGGGGTTGTTTGCAGGTTGCGAAGCTGTGGCGTATTTTGAGTTGTGCCCTTGAACGGAGATGGGTTTGTGTACGGCGGCTGGAAAATTGGGGGGCCCGGGAGCTGTAGCTGTAGCTGCTGCTGCTGCTGTTTCTGTTGCTTCTGTTGCCGCCACCGTTGGGTCGCAGGAGGTGGAGAAGGAGGAGGAGGGGGAGGAGGGGGTTGAGTGGTGCGGAGTTTGGGCCTGGAGTTTGGGGTTTGATGGGATGCAGGTTGCAATCCGGGCGATTTGGGGTTGGGCGCCGGATTGGGCTCCTTTGAAGATTTCCTTTAGTAAAATAATCACCTTTGAAAGTTCCCTCCGGAAGACGTTACTCGTACCCTGAAATAAGGTAAATGAAAGGAACTCATGGCCGGGGGGTCCGGGGGGCCCGAGGCCAGGGGAAGCGAATTGAATGGCGGGAGGCCGAATGCAGATTTGCTTGGGTTTGGGATTTTGTCCTTTCGAGGGCGAGAGATCCCGCGCTCTGGCATACTGTGTTTTTACTCGCAACGACTTGATGATGATGCGAAAAAGGCGTGGAGGGATGGAGGTGAACACAGCAGATGGCAGTCAATTAGCCGGCCGGCCAGTCGTACACGTGTTTTGCCCGTGTACGGCACACTCCCCTGCACCCTTACCCATTACGCGCGATCGTTCCTCAAGGTCGTGCTGGACGACGCGTGCTGGCCGGCTGGCTGGCTCCGGTGTGATATTGTTAATTGTTATGGTTTTGCGATTTGGCCACCACGATGGTGGTTGATGAGAATCCAGAGCATGGCGGTTTGTTGGACGGTTTGTTGGACGGTTGGTTGGATGGTTAGTTGAAGTAAGCGGTTGGAGCTGGTAGTTGTGTTTGCAGTTGAAGGCGATGTTGTCTTCCCGGGGTAGAGGGTCCAATGCGGCTACTGACGGGGCAGGGACCGAACTAACTGACAGACTAACTGACAGACAGACTGACAGCGGCTTTATGGGAAAATTTAAAAATTAGGTTAAGGATTAAGTTCCATGGGAATGATGCTGGGGTTGATGGAAGGCAAAATTACGAGTACGGTACCAGGTACCGTACAAGTACGAACATGACGTCCGGAAAATGTTGAAAAGTGGATCATTTCAAAGGTGGATGATGTGTTTAGCTCACTTCTGTATATATGACACGGATTGCGACTTTTTGTGGGGCTTACAAAACGGTTGTAGTACGGCAGGTGGAGTGGTGGAGTCCAGGTGGGCCTCTTGCTGCTTTGTTGCACATACATGCATACATGTGTACATAAGGTGCATTTAGTAACAAGTGACAAGTATTGTTGCAGGTGCGTGTGCGCGAATGCAGGTGCGTGTGTGTATACATATGTGTGTATGTGTTTCGTCCTTGCATGTATGTATGTATGTGCTGCAGGTGATGCGTTTACAGTTGCAGGAGTATCTGACTGTGCCAGTGTGGAGGTTTGCAGGGATGTAGGTGGAGGTGGTGTGGATATGGTGGATGTCGACAAAACACTAAAACCCTAAAACCCTGAAGCGGGTTGTCCCCCAGTGGTGGACCCCCTCCGAGAAGCGACGTGGAGGACACATACACACACTCACACGCGCATACATACACACATACATACATATAGACCTACGCTGAGTGTCTTGATGTGAACTGAGCTGCGAGACGGGATTGGAAAAGCGTGTGTCTGTATGTTTGTACAGATAAACACGCGTTTCTATACATACGATGTGTGTGTGTGTCTGTCTGTCTGTCTGTCTGTCTGCGTGTTTGTGCAGGGTTGAGGGGCCTGGGGCTGGTCGGGTCTGCGGGGTCCTCCCGCGGGGTTCCCGGAGGTTACGAAGTGAAGCAATAGGCTAGGGACTGCTGAAGGTCCCCAGCGAGGGACCTGTGGCGAGAGTGACGGTTGGTTGTTGCCGTTGCGTAAAACCACGGCCTGCCCTCCCTGGTCGCTTGGTGGTGGTTAACGACTCTGCACCCTACCGCTACTCCGTACTGGCTTCCCGTGCCGTGCGTATTGGCCCTTAGTGGTTTTTAATGCATCGGCGAGGGCTTGAAATACGAAGCCTGAAGCCGACGTTGTACATAATCGCATTGACAGCGCTTCTCTGCGCTTTGATGATATGCCTGTATAGGACTGCGCACTGCCACGACCTGCTTGCGGGTAGCAGGAAGGCGTCGTACATAGTTACACACATGCACATAAATACATACATACATACACACCTTGAGGACGCTGCGGCTATCGCATCCCCTTCATTTAAATGACGATGTTATGTTGTGCCGTGTTGTGTGCCTTACTACAAGAACCAGATCCTGGTTGGCCGCATGGGAGGACTGGGTTGACTCATCCGGCTTGTTGCTGCGGCTGCGGCTGGAACTGTTGTAGAAGCCGTTAGTACTAGTATGTGTCAGCTGGATCCGGATCTGTATCCGGATCTGGATCCCTCATTTGCTTATTGAGCGGGCTCTGCGCTACAAGTCTCTACCACTGCTGCTGCTGCATTTGCAACTGCAATCGCACTTGCTGTTGCTGTTGCTCAAACAGCGAGGAGTGGAGATCTTTGCAGAGAGAAGGAGGGGGGTTGAGGGTGGACGGCCATTGCCACTGATTGCATGGCAATCTGATCTGAAGTCCGCAGGCATCATGCTCTACATGACGCAGTCTGGCGTTTGCATGGATTGCTTTCCATTGTTTGTACATGTGTTTAAATCTAAATCCATTGGGGGCCCTGTAATATCCATATTATTGGACAGTACTGTGGATTGTGATGATTCGGCTGCTGATTATTGAACGATACATCGTCACTTAGATTTCAAATGCTTCGCGGATGTGGCACAAGGTCGCCTTGGGTCGGCCTGGCGCTCGGAACGGCAGCATTAGTTATATCAGTGTGGAAGGGCAAAGGCACCGTACTCCCAGCTACTACTTGGTTGTTGTTAGAGCACGAAGGTAATCTGTCACGTAATCTAAATACCTGGCAACTTCGAAAGCCTTTCAAGGTTACAAGCCACTGCACAAGGCTGCTCCCGGCCCAAGCTGGGATGGAAAGAATGTCGCACGCAGCTAACACAGGCTTAAGGAGAGCACCAGCAGAGAGCACAAAACGCACAACCATATGAATTTCTATGGGTTGGTATGCATCAAAGCAATCTTGGCGCCGACACGGAAAGGTCCAGGGCGCTTGTGCCTCGGCCGTTGCAACGAGCAGCGAGACTAAACCTGTATGACCGCAATTCCTTAACAGTCTGCAGGTTTGAGAGATTAATGCCCAATATTTCTACCTAAAAATTTTGGATTGCAGCATGGTTGGGCCTACCGCCAATGGAAGGTTTAAGAGAAACTCTACCTGAACTTGGGTTATGTAAAGCCGCAGTATGCCTATATGCATAATATCTTATATTTGTACATGTATTGTCTCTATTTTCAGTAAACACATTTTACTTTGAAGGACTAGATAGCTGCTTTTCTTGGGTACGACACTTTTGCTCTACCTCGTTTCGACTATCACGTAGCACCTTGTGCGAAATGCAATCGTGGCGAATCGCATCGATAATAGACACGAATAACTTTATGGCACGCAACTTTAATTATACTTATTTTGTTCCCGCATGGGGGCAAACCGAGTTCAGCAGATGACTGTATGGTTGCCGAATATCCTAATAAACATATTTGTGTTAACACATGACCCTAAAATGCAATACGACCTATGATTTCCGATGGGACTCAGCGTTTCGTCCTGCCTAACATCTAGTGACGACTTCCATGCAGCAGCTGAACTGGCCCGCGCGCTTGACGCCGGCGACCATGCATCAGTGCTGGACGTACTACAACAAAAGCCACAGCTGCTATCCCAGAAATTCTTGCCAACGCGCAACACGGTGTGGCATCACATTGCACGGAGCGGAGATGCTCAGCTGCTCACAGCGCTCTTTCCTCTTGTGGAGGACACTTACGCCCACATGCTACCAGCTTCCAGTCCGCTGCTTCAGCAGCGCCGACAAGCTGCGGCAGTAAATCCGGGTGAATTGGATTTCCAGCAGGAGTCCAGCAGAAGCCCGCTGGCGGCTATATCTACGATGTCCTCGGGACTTGGCGACTTGGCGTTGCCAACCCCCAGCTTTACGAATTTCCGTTCCTTTCATTCACCTCAAAACTGGAGAACGCAGCGTCGCCGGTCAAGTGCTACCGATGCTGCTTCGTCCGTGCCTGGCGACGGCGGCGGCAGCAGCCTAGGTTACATTGTCCCGGGAGCAGTTGCGACCGGCGCTGCCGTTACCACTGACGGTACCGCCATCGCCGCCACAGCGGCGATGATGATCGCCACGACCGGGAGCGACGACTGGGCGACTGGCACCGGCAGCAGATTCCCTGCTGGCGGCGGCGGCGGCGGCGCAGCTGCCGACGCCACCGCTGCCGGCGTTATCCAGTCCACAGCGGCGGCAGCGGCAGCGGTGGCGGCCACTGCAACAAATGCCTTCCCTCTTACCGCTGCAAATGCTGTCGCTACGTCATACACCTCGGCCGCCATGTTTGCCATACTCCCGCCTGCCTCTGAAACCACCTTCGAAACCCCTACCACTGCCAGCAGCGTACGAGGGTCTTTCCTGTCGTCACGACATTCCCCAGTAGTATTGCCGACTAGGAGAGCCCCCAGCCGCTCTGGTGCCGTACAGCCCCATCCGCGCGGCGGCAGCAACGGCGCCGCCGCAGCGGCGGCAAATGCCGACCTCAGTCTAAATCCTACGCCCGCCGTACGGTCAGTGGGGCCAACGGTTCGTCCACTACGGCGCGACACGTCGTTGTCAAGTACGGCAGCCAGTCGTACTGGAGTCCATGAGCCGCGGGGCTGGCCATCTTGGCGGCGGCTTTCACGAGGCGGTAGCGGCGGCACCGCCGCCGCCTCCCCTTCCGTTGTCGCTGCCGCCGCGGGCGCCGCCACGTCACGGCACTCCCGTCGGCCAGGCGCTGCGGTGCTCGCCGCGATGCTGAGCAGCCGCAATGGGAAGGGTCAGACGCCGCTGATGGTGGCGTGCTCACACGGCCAGGCCCCCGTGGTTGCACTGATGTTGCGCAAGGTGCGTGTGTACGGTTCCCGGTGTACGGGGCCGTGTGTACGGGGCCGTGTGTACGGTCCCGTGGCAGCTGTTGGGTGATTAGACGGTAAGGCAGTCTGCGGAAGGTCCGGGATGTGGCGACACGTGGTGTCGTACAGCTGTTGTCGTATCCCACCGCGGATGGGTGGTACAGGTGTCACCACCCTGGGGGGCTCATGAGCCGATGACACACATCACCCCAGCAGGGTACGACAGCCATCCCGGCAGGGTACGACAGCCATCCCGGCAGGGTACGACAGCCATCTGGCAGGGTGCGACAGGCATCACAGCAGGGGCAACATATGTATGTTGTTACAGGGTGGTTAACTTCGCCAGCGGCCCCCTTTCCCGGGGCAGTCCCTGCTCTCCCCTGTGCTAGAGGGGCACCCTAATCGGTCACCCCATCCGACTTAGAATGTATTCGTTGGGTTCGGCAACTCACCACCAGCATCCAACCAAATCTAGCGGATCAACGGCGCATCAATTTAGTTCTTGGTCAGCTCGCAAGCTGGTATCATCACGTCCTACATCGTCCACATGATGGGGGGCCATCTCCCAATTTAACACTTCTCCAACACCCGAGGAGCCGGCAGGCGGACTTGAACCCGGGTCGGCCGAGAGCAGAAGTCAGGCCTTAACCTCTGCCAGCCGCCTGCCAATGATGTATATGCCATATGTATGTATCATCGTGCGGAAGGGAAACCAAACAGTTTTAAACTTCATAACGTTCACCCTTTTAAAAGCACTAACTAACAAATCGTTTAAAAGCACTAACTAAACGTTTAACTAAACGTTTAAAAGCACTAACTAATCGCCAACTGTAACTACCAGGGCGCCGACCCGTGGGCCACCGAGCCGCGCAAGGCCCTCACCGCCCTCCATCTGGCTGCACTGTACGGCCACTACATGTGCGTCAAGCTGCTTTTGGGTTTGCTACCCGCAAGCCCGGCGGCGTCGGCGGCGTCAGTGGCCGCGTTGTCGACTACCGACTCGTCGCAGCCGGCGCCGTCGGTGTCCGGGATGGCGGCGGCGGCGGCGGCGGCGGCGACGGCCAGGTCTGTGAATTGGTGGCTGTTAATGCCATTGGCAAGGTTTGCTTCTGCCGTTGTGTGTGTGTGTGTGTGGTTTGCTTCCCGTGGTGGCTGCTTTATGTGTCCTTACACTGTTTATGTGCTAGGAATGATTCACGACAACACAACCTTAGTAATGCCGCACTCATAATTCTGTTAGACGCTGCGTTTCACCAGCCGCCATTTGGCCAGCTAAGATGACGTGGCTACATGAGTAATACGTACGGCGAGGATGTGCAGATGCGGCAAAGCTGACCGTACACATGAACAATGCGAAGTTACACGCTTCCGGGGCCGACGGACCGAGCTGTACAACTCCCCACAGATCACCACACCAGGTTCAAATTCGCTGTTGCAGCTGTCAGTACGACACCAACCGCCGTCATAATCGTGCTAATTAAGTAGGGCCATCGCTCTATAAATGCACCCTTAACAGCTCCGGCGGACGATGGGGTGAAAACTGTCAATCGATCACTCCTCGTGACCTCAATTCATGCTATGTTACTGTCCACTACTGCTGCTACTGCTATCCCTACTTCTACTGTACCGACGTCTGCTGGTGCTGATGCCGGGGGCAGCAGCCGGCAGTGGTAAGAGAAAGAGAGACACGGAGGAGAGTTTGTTAGAGTATGTGACTGACTTGTGGAGGATTCGATGGGGCGACCTCCTAGTTGCATGAGCGGATGGCTGTTGGCACGACCATTACACGGCTGAATGGATAGCATGTGAATTAATCACATTGATTGGTAACCCAGCCAGCCCCACGCGGCGCACAAGCCATGAGCCCCTCACGCCACCCTCACATCGGAGTAAGAGCTCATTCGTGAAGCCGTACGTAACCGGGCCTGGCTGCGGGTTTTAACCGCCAACCCAATCAACAACTTATGATTCCCTCCACTCGTTCAGGCTGCTAGAGGCCCGCACTCGTAGCGGGGCAACGCCGCTTCATTTGGCTGCCGATATGGGTCACACCGCCGTCGTGGAGCTACTGCTGCAGTACGGCGCCGACCTGACGGCGCGTGTGAAGCCGCCGCCGTCGCCGCCGGCAACGTCGCTACTGCGGCCGCCGTTGCGGCTGCCGGCCGCGGCAGCGGCGGCGGTGGCGGCGCTGTCGAGCATGTCTCGACGCTGTTGCCGCCTTTGGCCTCTGCCGATGCTACTGCCGATACTTCCCGCCGCCGCCGGCGCGACGCCGCTGCATTTGGCGGCGCGTGGCAATGACGTGTCGACGGCGTTGGCGCTTTTACGACATTATTACGTAAGTGCATTTGGCGATGTGATGCGAACAGTGACGTACCGAGGCGGCAGCGAAGTGTCTGTCTGTCAGTCTGTCTGCCTAATTGTCTTTCTGTGTCTGTCAGTCAGTCAGTCAGTCAGTCTGTCTGTCTGTCTGTGCCTGTCGGCCTGTACAGGTGTGGTCTTATGTGGATGTGTGTTTTTCTCCTACGTGCCTTTCTTTCCTCCCGAGGTGCGAGGAGCTTCGGACTTTTTGCTGTACGAGCCGTCATCCTACATTCCGTACATGCCCGCCGTACGTGCATTATGCTTTAACAGTTTAATATATCTGCATGTCATGCAATCCAATTCCAACTAACGTAACAGTCGTCCACATAACGGGCATCCCTTTGCCTCCTCCTTCCTCCTCGCACTGGAGGGAGGGAGAGCGTTCCCTCCCAACATCCCTTTTCTTAATTTTTAATTTTCCGTTTTTTGCTAGATTATTAACGGCTTTCTAGAAACTCCGGCTCCCTCATTAAAATTACATTCAACATCATGGGCTCCACGCTAGGCTTTTTACAGGGGGCCCCCCATTGTTACAGGAACTTGTGATTTGTATATAATTATGATGTGCGGTGTTTTCCTTTCCTCCGTGGCTTTTAGGCGTTGTAGTATTACCCTTGGGCCCTCGGCTCGTATGGGTAGTCTTACAGGTATGGGGTCACGCACCCCCAACCATGTAACACACACACACACACACACACACACACACACACACACACACACACACACACACACACACACACACACACACACACACACACACACACACACACACACACACACACACACACACACACGCATAACACGTCTTCGTCGCAAGTAAGCCCGTGAAATTTTACGGGTGCTGTGCATTACGGCTTGGGGGATTACGGGTCAAGACCTTGTGATTACGGGTAATGTAACCTGTGGATGACTTCCAGCACGGGCAACCAACAAAATGTCACCTATGTTCTTCCTTATAAAAGGAATGCTTTGGCAACTTAAAAATAAGCATGTTTACAAATTTTCTTGGCCGGTAATTACATGTGAAGACCACGTGATTACGGGTAAACATGAATTTACGAGTGAAAACCCTTCCCAGAGTGTAAAATACCATTTGATGTAAATAATATGCACGGCGGCTCACGTTTTGCGAAACACACACGCAGGCAATGCTGCTTGGGGAGAGCCCCCGGGCTCTGACCGACCCGCGGGATATTGGAGATGCGCGAGGCCTGCGCCCGCACCAGATTGCGTACGGCAACCGTTCGTACCGTCTGGCAGTGATCCTGCGACCCGACTACCCTCCTCGGTGAGTGGGCCGGTGGGTGTTGCCTCTTGAGGCACCGTATGCCTTCAACGTCTACCGCCGTTTGCACATGCACAGACAGACAGACAGACAGACAGACAGAAAAGCAGATACAGACGCACGCGCACAAACACATAGATAAGACAGTCAGACAAGTACAGAACGTGCCTGCTTTGCCTTCGCCTTGCTTTGCATTCGGCTGCTGGCTGGCCGTACAATTTTTGTCGTACAGACAAGAAATTTCTCTCCGCCCTCATCGGGGGAAGGAAAGATCTCAACCTCTGTGTCCGCGGAGCCCTAAACACGCCATTCGTGTCCGTCACCGATTTTTGGTAATAATAGTAAGATGTAAATTAAAAGGATTTTCATGGCGGATTTAGCTCAGTTGGGAGAGCGCTAGACTGAAGATCTAGAGGTCGCTAGTTCGATCCTAGCAATTCGCAGTTTTACCCATCATTGGCCATGTATCTCTCATAAGTATGGAAGTGTCAGGCATTGTCGCGCTGAAGTGCTTCGCCCTAAGTAAGTTGATGATAGCCCTCCGGATTTCACGGACACACCCGCACTTGTGTGCGGAACTAGTAACTGCGGACATCTTCACATGACTCTTCACATGAACAAAAGTTGTTCACCTTCGCCGCCGCCGCCGGCAACCACCACCACTACTGCACATCACCGTCATCGCTACTGCCAGTCACAATGATGAAGTGCAGCACCTTGGTGGACTACAGCCTCCTGCTGTGGAACGCTAGGGCCGTTGCAGGGTGTGTAGGTCCTCCGTATCGTACATCATACGCCGTACTTTCCGACGATTGACTGAATAAGCAAGAATTTGGTGAGCCACCCACACGGCCTAAAGCTGGCAGCATCTATCGATGCCGTTCGCGCGGCGATCGAGTAGCGAGTATGAAAATATTCTAATTTGGCAAGGACTGAACAGAAGTCGTAAGTCTTACGGCCTGCACCGTCCCCAGGCAGCCACCTTCCGTCTCACAACACTGCCGCGATGCATTTTTTCTAAACAGTGGCTATAATAATTTTATATGAGCCAATCAGAGCTTAACATTTCCTGATGGTGTGTGATGATGTAACGATGCATAATCTTGCTGTTGGCGGCGGCGGCGGCGGCGGCGGTGCAGGTGGCTTTTTGGAATGGACTTGGGCGTGTTATACGGCCTCGACGAGTTGGAACGGAATTTCGAGTCCGGCGCCGCTGCCGTTGCCACCGTCGGCGGAGGCGGAGGCGGAGGCGGCCGCCGGCTGTCATCAGCGGTCCCGACTCTAGCGGCGCTCGCTAGTGCCGTACTGCGACGGGCCCTGCTGCAGGATCTTGACGCGCTGGAAGAAATGGCCACGAACTGTACGGCACCGTACTGTGGCGTCCTGTCCTGCGGCGGCAACGGTGTCGATGTCAGCGGCGACGCCGATGGCGCCAATGGTGGCGGCGGCGGCAGTGGCGTTAGCAGGGAGGCGGCAGCTGTCGTTCTGCCGCCGGCAGCGGCGCCGCCGTCGCCAGCTGGCGTTAGCTTGGCGGCATGTGTGGCGGCCTCCGTCACGGCATCACACGCCGCCAAGGTGACGGCGGCGGCGGCTGCATTACACGACGTGACTGCTGGGCCGTCAACTTCAATTCTATCGGCGGCGTCGCCGCCCATGTTCTGTCCGCTAACCGGCGGTACGGCATTGGCTACCGCCGACGGCGATCCAAACCGCACCGACGTCACCGACGCTTCAGGTACTCCGCAAACGGCTGCCATCGCCGCCGTAACAGATGCCGTACCGCAAGTAATGGGGCGGCAGGTTACCCACAGACCAGTGAGGCCTTCCGGGGCGGTGGACGCGATGCAGCCGCCCAACGGCGCTGTAGCCGCCGCCGCCGTCGTTGGCGGCACGGCTCCTTTCCGGCCCACGCCGACCCATGTGTCGACAGACAACGCTGAGTCACCCCGGCACCGACGCCAGTACCAGGTCCGCGATTTCGACGTCGACGACGTTAATGTCTGCAGCCCTGGCTTCCACCGCGGCGAACATGTCCAGATCAGGCCCGTCTCCGCTGTTCCGTCCGCCGCCGCCGCCGCCGCCGCCGCCGCCGCCGCCGCGAACGTGACGGCGAGGCGGCGTGTCTCACCGCCACGGCGGCCTATCTCCGCCTTCGCTGCAACAATGGACCGGCATTACGGATGTCCACTCGTAACGTACGACACAATTTGCGGAAGCCGTGTTGGCGGCGGCGACGGTTCTGTTGTGGTCTCCACGCCAAGCACATCGGCAGTCAACCGCCAAGACGGCGTCGTACGGCATTTCGAAATAAGCTCTCCAGCCGGCGGGCTAACTGTGCCGACGGCGTCGGCCGGTACCTCGTCGGCAGTTGAGCTGTTTGAGGTGACAAGAGGTACGTCTCCTCCTTGTGTGACGACGGCCACAGCACTGCCGACGGCGGCGGCGGCGGCTGCTGTACCACCGCTGTTGTTTTCATTACGGCAGACAGCGTGGGGTCCACACGCCGGGGATGACATAGTGGCGGGCGGAGGCACAATGCCGTACCGTACGGCGTCAGGTGCTGAGGAGGCAACGGAGCCGCTGCCCTGTGCGGTTAATGTGGTGTCAGCGTTGCACCCGCCAAGAGTTGGAGCCGGCGTGGCGGCGCCACCGGTGGCGGCGGCGGCGGCGACGCTGGTAGGAGCAATGCCGCCATCGCCGTCGGCGTCTGCTGCTGCTGGCTCTCCTAGGTCAGCCGTACATTTGGTCTTGGAGCAGCGACGGCTGTCGGCGGCGGCGGATTCTCGCTCTCCCGTCGCCATCGGCACTACACTACACTTCCCTAGCGGAGGCGTCGCCGTCGCCGCAGCTGCGTCGGCGTCGGCGACCGCCACGACTGCTCCGGATTTTATCACGCCGTACGACATTGCTGGCGTTAAAGCAGCGTCTTCGGTCTGGGGCCGGCGAGAGGACAGAAGCCCGGCGGCGGCGGAGGGCTGTGACATCTGCTTGGATGATGCGACTGGCGACGGCGGGCGACTGGTTTTGGTCAGTCTGCGGCATTGCGGTCACCGTTTGTGCGTTTCATGCGCCAGGAGACTCATAGACACGGCATTGCCCAGGCGACCTGCCACGTGCCCCTTCTGCAGAGGTCACATGGCGGGGTTTGACCTTGCGCCAGGGTACGACAGGCGTGGCGATTGCGGCGGTGCTGCTGCCGCCGCCGCTGCCGCTGCCGCCGTGGTGGCGGCGGCGCCGGCTGTAACGGCGGCAGCATTTTCTCGGGTGCCGACGCCTCCCAGGGGCCAGCGCGATGCGACTGATCCCGCTGCCGCCGGGGACGCGGGTGTGGTTGCACTGGCGGCGGGGAGGTTATCGAGGCGGTGAGGTGTCGTACCAAGTACGGCAAGTGCTACCAGGGCAGCTAATAACCTTGGAAAGGGGCGTTTTGATTTTGGAACTTGATAGGTAGTTTGTTCCGTTTGCGGTTAGTCGGTTATGACAGCAGTTAAGGCGCCAGTCCAATGAGGAGACAGAAGATTGCGTAGAGGCAGCGACGTTTCATGGGGGGATGTCCGGCCGCATGTATGTATGTCTGTGTATGTTATGTGGGACAGGGGTTCATATCTTCACCCGTGGCCGCTACCCGGCAGACCCTGCCTTCCCCGGTATTTCGGGGCATCCTTATCCCGTCACCCTAGTCAACTTCTCAGTGGATCGCTTAGGTTCCGCACCCACCACCAGCATCCAACGGAATCTGCCGGATCGACGGCGGCTCAATTCCATTCCTGGTCAGCTCGCAAGTCAACTTTATCCCAGGTCACGACCGTCCATCGACTAGGGACACTTTTACCTTCCACCATCGACCCTGACAGGTCTTAATCCCGGAACCTCCGGGCGCATCAGTGTGTGCATGTATGTATGTTTGCTCGTCGCAGGTTGGTCGTTGCGCGTTGCTCGTCTTGTTTGGGTCGGTTAGCTGGTTTGTCGGTTGTAGCGACAGTTTGATTCGGTGACGTCCGGAACCAGAGCTCGGCAAATCGGTTTCTACGGCTGCGGGAGGGCAAAATCTCCGTCAGTAAACCTAGAAATTTTCAAAGTCGAAAACAGAGTTCAAGTTCAGGCTGCAAATCACGTCTTTTGGTCAAATTTCGGTCATTAGGGAGCCGCCGCCTTACGGGGCCTTAAGCCGAATTTCGGCTGCAGGCACTGCGGTACTGCAGGACCCGCCTTATTTGCCGACCTCTGGTCCGGACGCGCAGACTGCCTAAAACCAATTGCACCCAAAAAATTCTCCTGTCAACAGTCAAACCAGGTCAAACCTTGTCAACAAACAGTGCGTGATCGTTTTCCTTTACATAACGATGACGACGATATTGTCCTCTTTGCACTGAATGCCGTTATGCTCGCCCTGCGGATTATTTGTGTGCTTTGGAACCTATGTCGTACACAAACTGCCCAAATTTTACAACGTACGGGAAGTGGGGGCAACACAATCAGCGAGTGAAGCCGACGCCCCGTGAAGTCCCCATTGCTTTGTGCCGTACTTAGGGCACCTGCCGTACATGCCTAATGCCGCTGTTGGCGTAGGCGGTAACTATGAAAGAGGTGAGCAACATCCGCCGTACAACAGCCGTACGCCTTGGTTGGGAGACGACAATCCTTAGTGCAATGCCGATGCCGATGGTGAAGATTATGATGTGTTATGTGCGACAAGATGCATTAAGCGGCGCAGTGAGTAGCACGATATCAGTCAAAGCGAGATATCGATATGTGTTGTATATATTAGGTATGGATTTTAACCTGCGTCACAGGACACAAAATGAAATTCAGGTTCCAAGAACATTAAGAACCCTAGCCGTACTGTATGAATAAGCGCAGGTACGGGCTGAATTGGAACGTTTGTTTGTACGATGTATGAGTGTACGAATTGTTGGATACCTTCGTTGTGACCTGACAGGAGTTCCCTCGCCCCCGGGACTGGGGTTGAGCAGCTGCTGAACTTTCTGTTTCTGGTTCGCTCGTTACTCTTTATCATCATCGGGGGGTTATCCGTGCTCACACAGTACGACGGCTGAAACTTTGGATGGCAGTATGAGGAGAGGAGAGGAGAGGGGGAGAAAGGAGAGGGAAGGAGAGGAGGAAGGCCGAGGAGAGGAGAGCAGAGGAGAAGTGGGGGAGGAAGGTAGACATCGCATCTCGTGCGAGAGGGAGAGCCCCGGGGAAGCAGGGGAAGGGAGGAGGTGGAAGATTGCATATTGAACGAAAGTCATGATTTATTATGATTTCATTCCCTTGAATGCGAATGCGAGTGTGTTTCATGTCATACTGGTGTTTCTTCAAATATGTTGCATTAAAGTTTTGAAAAAAATGAAAAAAAAATTGTTCGTGGTCACGAAAGTTAAGAATAAATAATGTTCCGACCGTACAAGTTCATTCCTCCAGCCAAAAATGGACTGTCCATGCCAAAGCCGCTAGAATCTTACAGGAGACATACATGTTACCCATATCATAGTACTTTAATGCCATGGATACTGCTAGGAAGGTCACGCCCGAAAGTCAACGCGGAATCGGACTGTTTCTGACCGGACCGAACGCTGCAAAATATTCGGACCCGAAGCTCCCAAAGCTTGGAAGGCCATTAAAGCAGATATAAAACTTCACTGAAGCCATCAGCGACGTTAATGAAGAAGGTGTAGAGGTCGTAGGCAATGTGGACGCAATGCTGCAGCCAGCCGACGACAATGACGCCACTCCGGTTGTCAACAGCGAGCGGGCCAAACATCAATGTTCCTCATATGGAGACAATCGCGATGGGCCAGGAAACAGGTTGCGCTTGGTGGTTCCGGTTCATGGCTGCTATGCGTCATTACTTCTGCAACCTGGAAAGTCGTGTAGTGTTATCTTTCAACGTGATGCAAGACGAACGATGGTGAACGAACTCTTATTCGATCAGTGCTTGAGAGATTGTGGTGTGCGCGTGTTGCGACATTCCCCAAACCGGCGTTTGCACGAACTGTAACTCATCGGGGGGGATCGGGGGGGGCCGTAGCCCCCCCCAGCGCCTTACAGATTCGGAATACTTTTAATCCCGCGACTAAAAACCTATTCCTCCGTTCGGACTGGAAAATTAACCGGCAAAAATGAAAAAAAAACTGCTCTGGATGGATTTTGCTACAAGGGAAGGGTTGGGGCATGGGGTTGGTTAAGCGTCGTACACTGGCAACCTTTCGGATACACCTTGCCGGCGCCGGTATTATGAGTCATTCGTACACGGGATTACCGTCGTAACCGGGAGTTCTGGAACTGATGATGAGTGCATGACTGTAGTACTGATTGTCGTACATTATAATCGTACATCCGATCCTTACACATCTTACATTTCTCCCGGAAAGCCTATTAATCACTTGCCCGTACGACAATCCGCAAAGCCCGTCAATCACACGGATTTTCTACAAAACCCGGGCAGTGACACAACTTTTTGTGTTCGCACACGCGTGAACACACACAAGTGCATACATACATACAAACGTACAAACGTACGGACGTGTGGCCGACAGCAGCCCCAAATTCCAGGAGTGCTGCATTCCCATACTACATAACCTTCAACATGCGAAATTACACCTTTAGGGATACAGTACTCCAAATAGTTCATTTATAATACACCTATGAATCACCTATATATTTGATCAAGATTCGGTCAGTAATAATCAAACTCGACGATAACCCATAGCCTTGCACGCAGATGAGATGCTTTCCAAGACGCGAGACAGCGTTCACAAGGTTCATTCCAATGTGCCTTTCCACTACACGCCACCGCCTAGTTTACCTCGTCCTCATTACTAACAGCACTCGATCCATACATCTGTACCTGCGAAACTACATAACCGACGTCGAATGCACGTCGCACGAGTTCGAGTTCTCCCGCCAACTCAAGCCAAGATTGATTTTACTCCACGCACACCTTTCTCCAATCTTTACACACACACGCACGCACACACACGCACGGACACACACCTCTTTCCACTCCGGCTTCGCCAGGTTGATTGAAAGTGGAATGCTTAAGCAGCAGGAGAAAAAAAGGCGGAGAGATGCTGCTGCTGCTGCTGCTGCTGCCTCAAGACACGGCTATATACATGCACATACATACGCAAAGCCCTGCAAAGCACATCTCATGCTCTCTGCATTTAACCGGAAAAAGACGTCATTAAAGCATAAATAAAGCATCATTGCTCATAAAAGTGCGTAGAGGCAAAAGATAGACGCGGAAGAGCAATCGAGCGATCGAAGCGAGCGTAAAAGGAGGCGAACTTAGCAACACGCAAATCTAACAGCAGCGGTGCATCCGCTGCGCCAGGACATGGGCAAAAGAGGAGGAAATTTTAAAGCTAGAAATGCCCACTTCTATTAACGCAGCAGCAAGTAACCCCGAGTAATCGCAGTGCATATTGCACAAGAAAGGCTTTCTAAACCTGAGAACGGTAACGTCAGCGCGCGCGCGGGCGCTCAAAAACACGTAATAAATACACAAATGTATTTTCAATCAGTAACAAGTAACAGCTGTAAATATATATCAATGGTTTCATATCGCGTTCGGCGTTCTAAACTGGGCTGGGTTCCAGAACCCCCTGAATACAACGTTAAGGCGTTATCTTTTCTTTCCAAAGGGAGCTCCAGCAGCACGGCGGTGATGAGGTGATAAGATGATGACGAGTACGACAATGATGATGCCGATTGGGGGCCGTACACATGCCGTACAAGGCCGAGGCGCTCGCAACCCCAGCCCTTGCAAGCCCCACCTAGCCAACCAGCCGGCTATATCCGTGCACGGGGGTGCACATGCCCTCATAGTAAACAACAGCGTTGCCGACCTTTTCCAAATCCAAAAGTACTTATTAGCGCTCACACACGGCAAGGATGTTCTCTTTCCGTAGCATGCACAAATATTAAATGAATGCAGTGAGAATCGAATTCAAGGACGCAATGGACGGCGAGATGAGGGTTTCCCCCCATTTCCGGGGATTAGGAGACACTTGATTAATATATATATGCACCAACATATGCCCTCCTTTCCCTCATCTTCCAAGGCCCACCCCCACCCCCACCCCCCTCGCTCGCGCTCGCACGGATGCCCTCGCACGACATCACCCTTTCCCCCCCTCCCCCAAACCTCAGAAAACACACACACACCATCACACACCCCATCAGGCGTTGTCATGTTGCGGCTGCAGGCGATATCGGAGCTGTTGGTTACGATATATATTGGAGGAGCTGTTGTTGTTGTTGATGATGTTGTTGTTATTGCTATGGAAGCTGACTGTCGCGGCGGCGGTCGCCTTCTCCTCCACCTTTGCCACAATTTCGCCTCATCTCCCCCTCTTCCACCTCCCCTTCTTCCAAAGGCGGCTCGGCGGGCACCACCACCAGCACCTGGTCGGCGTCGTGGGGGTAAGGACTGCCCACCTGCACCTCCTTCACCACGCCATCATCTACACAGCGAAACGGGAGGGGAAGAGAGAGAGAGGGGGGGGGGAAAGACGAACCACACACAATTGAAGCTGCTGCCAGGGCAAGAGTGTATCAAACGTAGAACTGACCGGAGGGGGGAAAGAGAAAGGTGAAGCGGGAGGGGAAGAGAGAACGAGGAGGCACGGCGAGTGTGGGTGAAGCGGATGGTTGGCGGGGGTTTGGGGGTTAGGGTTGGCGGCAGAACTTGACTGCCAACTGAACAAATCGGCATTCGACCAAACTGGAAACCGACGACCAACTACTAACTGCCAACGGCCAACAATATAAGCACTGTTAGCAAGCGGATAGCGTCAACGGCCCGATGGTCCGAGGGTACCCAAGATAGATTTTCTTGAGGTCGGAGGCAAATCCCGTCTGGGTCTGGGTCATTAAATGTATGTCTATCTGTCTGTGACGCATGGCCATTTACAAAAGTATGCTTAACTACTAACCGCGATGTCTAACCGCTCCAACGGAACTCCCCACCACGTGTGCAGGAACCCACGTTCACCTGCCATCCATCTGCCTACCTGGGTACGACGGTTCCGAAACCAGCTGCCGTAGCTTCTCTCCGCCGCATTTGGCCACCTGTGGACGTTAGTTCGTTGGCGGATCGTAACGGAACTGGTCAACGGCGGTCAATACACATAGCAGCAACCAGAGTAACTGTAACGGCCTGGTGAGTCACCTGGAACAGGCACATCCATGTACGGAAGAGTGGACGTGTGCGAACAGACAGACAGAGGGACAGACAGACAGGGGGACAGACAGACAGGGGGACAGACAGACTGACAAAAATCAGACAGACAGACAGACAGACAGACAGGCGCCATCGGCAGGGACAAGGGCAACCTGCGGCGGCGGCATAGATCAAGCCACCTGGCCAGTCGCCCAGCCAGCGAACAAACCACATATGCATACCCTGCGCCGCCCTCGCCAGTCCTTAGCCCCCCGTCATACACACAATGTACGTATATACATATATATACGTATATATATATACGCATACGCATTCAATTCAATTCAATTCAATATGCATACACGTAAATATAAATATCCATGAATAATGTAAACTCTGCGTCATGTGCGTCGCGACACACACACACACACACAGAGACATACACACAGACACACAATCACGCACAATATCACACACACACAGACACGCGAGAGAGAGAGCGTGCCAAAACACACTCACCGCCACTCTGAGTTTACGCCAGCGGCGGTGTGCCCGCCCCCTGGGCCCCGGCAAATAGATGGGGTCGTGGAAGTTGGACATGGACTCCTGCGTGGGCGTGTGTATATATGTATGTATGTATGTATGTATGTATGTATGTATGTGTATGAGGGGGTGATAAACGAGGGAAAGGCAGAGGGAGATACCGAGGGGGGGATCAAGGGTAGGGGACGGAAGAGGGCAGGGCACGCACTCCTACATTAACGCATAAGCATAGGGAGCTTTATATACTTCCATATTCACGATGCACATGCAATGCAGACGCAATTGCAATCTCAACCACTTGTGGAAAACCACAAGTGTGTTTTCCTTGCTTGCACCCACCATCACCTGCCCTTGCTAGCACCCACCTGAAGATGCAATCCTGCAAGGAATGTCGTATGAGGTAAATCCAACTTGGCCAGCATCGTGAAAAGAGTCACCTGTTATTGGAGGGGAGGGGAGGAGGAAGGGAATGGTGACAGCTGAGTAGACAGCTGAGTTGGGAGTGTGTGATATATGGGACGTGAGTTGGGATGTGAGGAGTCAACACAGAAATCGTTCCCTCTCCTTGCCCCCTTGACCTCTGCGGTGGACCCCACCAGCGGGTGTCCAAGTCACTCTCCCCCCGCCTTTCCTTTACGACAGATCCCAACATACACACATACATACACATATACACATCTCTGCCCCTTCCTTGCCGAACTCGAAAACCTCAACACTTTACCCCTACCTCTTCCTTTTCCCCCTCCCCCGCTCCACCTCTTCCTTCCCCTCTCCCCGTCCCTTCCTTCCCCCTTTCCCTCCTTTCCTCCCGTCGCTTACGTCGAGCTTCCCCAGCGCAAAGATGGTGGTGAGCAGGAGCAGGATGATGCGGTACAGTGCCAGCAGCAAACCAATGACCAGGTTGGTAGCTGAGGCGATGACAAGGAAGGCCAGCCAGGCAGCGGGCCTGTAGATCCGGTCGCCATCAGACAGCCAGGTGTTGCCAATGAAGTTGATCAGAACCACCTGGGGTCATGATGTGGGAATTGAGGGGGAGAGGTTTAGGGTTTTCGGGTTTTACGGTTTCAGGCTATCAGATTAGGAAGAGATTCAGAACGTTGCTTTGCAAAAAAACGTTTATTAAAGCTAGAAAGATGCTAGTCACTTTAAGATCTTTGGACTATGGAATTTAGGGTGCCGTTTTTTTGACGGTTGCCCCCAATCCCTCCCTTTTGTATCATGCCGCTTAAGATCTCAGGATCGAATCCCATGCTCGTGATTATGTTTTAATCATTAAACCAAAAAACCGCTTATCAAGCCCTCATGCTTGCATCTCCAACCTCGTCTTAACCCGTAAGGCGCCACCCGTTGAGCTTTAAACCTTTAAACCTTAAAACCCTAAAAACAAAACACAGAAACCCCTCCCCTCATGCACCCCCCCCTCTGCACACATACACATCCTCCTCCGCAGCCGCACTTTCCCTGAATATATCCCTCCACCATCACCTTGTTTAGGAAGAGACCAGCTATGACGGCCACGAGCCACAAGTAATACCTGGGCAGTAGCCACGTCCAAGTCCAGGGGAGGGACACCAGAGCAAATCCGACACTAAGCGTCACACCGACCTGCGTAAGAGGATGGAGAAAGCGACGTTACTTGAATAAATAAACACTGAAACATTGATAATAATAATCATAATTAATAATAATAATAATAATAAACCTGATTATTTTTTTATATTTGACAGAAAAGAAAAGAATAATATATGATGGATGGAGGGGTTCAAACAAAGGAATTAACATGCGACTTGGGGGAATAAAATAAAAAGATATTATCTCGGAGTTTGTATGTATGTAGCGCACGTGCGTGGCCACACACGGCGTGTGTGCACATAAGAACCGGTCCGAATGTATTCTGACTTGCCATAATAATATCCACAAGCGCGTCAACATGAAAAAAACCATGATATACTAACTACATTTACCATACGGCACCCAGCGGGAGAAACCGCCAATTCTTAACGAACAAACTCACATTAAATCGTTCTCAGCCGATACCAACGGAAAACAAACCCACCGCGTAGAGTTGCACAACGGCCGTTGACAGTAAGACACCGAAAAAGAAAACGACCCAACTGATGCCAGTGGCTTCGGAGCGCCGTACAATCGAATCTTCCTCGTCGTACACGTTCTTAAAATTCGACATAGCCCATTTTCCCGCGCCGCCAGTGCCATCGTCCGTGTCGTACGATGACGCCAGAACGCGTGCCGCAATGCGGGCAAGACGAAGCTTGCGGGCAGACGTACGGAACGAGATG